GCACCATCATTATCAATATCCCATACTGTAATTGTTCCTTTATCACCTAGAGTATATAAAATATTTCGCGAATCATCAATGGAAATTTGTATTATTGCTTCTTCTTCTGATAAAGCTATAGTGACAAATGATGGAACTAAAAATGATAATGGACCTTCAGAATGATTTATTTTTTTACAACGTTTTCCAAACCAGCTACTTTCTGCCTACACAATAATACACATGCGCTAATAATTAATCATTTCTTGTATTATATTATATTATAAATTTACAAGTTATATCATAGAATGTTACCTGATAATATATTTCATAAAGGGATCCATTTCTACCACCGAGAAAAATTCTACCAGTATTAGTATTTGCTATTGTAGTAATACCAATACCATCTGTGGCAACTGTAAAAATTGGTTCTGGAACTAATTGCATTTCTGGGAATGAGCCTAAATTGGAAATTATGATAATAAATGAAAATTGAAAAGATATAATTTTAAAATAAAACTAAGATTATATAATATATTTATATATTTTTTTTAATTATATTACATAATACCTTCATTTTCTATTAATGTAACTCCAAGAATAGTTATTTCTACTGTAGTTGTAAGAATCAACAAATATTTTACATAAGATTGAAATACACTTGGTTTGGGTTTAACTAAACCTACACTTATAATAGTTTCATTTAATCCATCAAAATATGCAACATCAGACCTAAAAACATGTTATTATAGTAATATAAGCTAATTATATTATTTTAAAAAATAATTTAATAAACTTTAACTAAATATATACTCATTTTCATATGACCAAACATATATATCACTATCAATTGTAAGCCATGCTTTTGAAATTTCTGTAAAAAGTCCCATCATAGAATGACATTGTACACCTAAGCAAATACTAAGGAATTATATTTCCTGTATATAAAAAAAATATATATATATATATATATATATTGATTGATTATAAATATTGATTAATATTTGATTATCTATTATTTTTAAAAGGATACGATGAAAATGTTCCATTATTTCAGATGGTAAAGAAATTTTACTGTGTACTTTCATTTGATTTATATTTGAAAAACACATTGACATTCCATTTATATTTGGATAATCATGATCATCAAGACCACTAACAGTTGGCCCACCTAAAAAAATTTTTTAGTTAAAAATTTAAATTACAATAAAATACAAAATAGAAAAAATAATTATTTTACCTTGTACATTATATCGCATAAGATTGATTAAGGAAGGAAAATTACTATCTGCAGTAATATGTATATCAACTACTTTTCCTGCCATTTCTAAGGCATCTAAGTGTATTTTAAGCGGTTCCATTTCAGTGAGAGTCATGTTTATATAGTACAGGAAAAAATATACACAGAACTAAATTAACAAAAATATACAAATAAGACAATAAGATAGAAAATGTTAAGATTATCTAATGTAAATTATTATATAATTATTATCAATTAATGTATTTTTCATATTAAAATTTAATAATTATATTTTAATAAAAATTGATTAAAGGTTAGATTTATTTAACTATCTAAATATTATATGATAATATAATGATGTATACTAATATATTGTTGTAATATTTTTTAAAAACATAAATGCATTAAAAAAATTGAAATATATTTATTTTAATTAAAGAACACTTACTACAATTTATTAAGAATATTTATATATGAATTTTTAATAATGATACACATTCACAAGATTCGTGCAGCTCGCGCCATACATGTAAATTTTAAGTTGTACTATCCAAGAAACTGTTGCATACGCAAAAATATCAAATCTTATTGGCTAAAATTTATCTTAACGTGAAAAAAAATACATTTGAATTCAAATTAAATCGCTTATACTTAATAGTTTATAGATATATATTAAAATAAAAATATATTAAAAATATATTTAAAAAAATATAAAATATAATGTAATTATTAATATATATTAATATATATTATAATTATATATTAATTATATAATATATATATTATAATTATATATTAATAATTATAAATTTAATCTAGTTTTTGAAATATATTTATAAATACATAATTATATATACATATATATATAAACTATACATATATAATACATATATAAACTATATATATATACATATATACATACAAAAGACATAATATAAATCTTTTTATTATTTGAAATTTGTTATAATTATTTAATTTATAATATCATAATAATATGTTAGTTAAAATTAGTTAAAATTATTTTTAAAACAATATATTAATAATGAAAATTTGGCCATCTACAATAATCTTATTTATATTTGTCACTTCATTAATTTTCCTTGCTTTTACTGGTAAAAGAAAGTTATTAACGTTATTAATTTAATATGTTCTTAAATCCTTTTATTATAGATGATGTATCTAATGCGATGCAAAATTTTTATTGTGATCTTGGATTAAAAAGTGAAGAATTATGTCCTATTGATGGAGGATGGTCTTCTTGGAGTCCTTGGGGATTATGTTCTGGAAAATGTGGATTTAAAGGGAAGAAAATAAGACATCGTATTTGTAATAATCCTATACCTTCTAATAATGGAGCTCCTTGTATTGGTCCTAATTATCAAATCGAAGGTTGTCATATTACAGGTATAATCTAAATAATTATTTTAATATAATAATAATATACTGATTTAAATTAATAAATATTTTTTTAGGATGTACCATGAATGATTATGAAAAAATTGTAAATATTCATCCTATACGTAAAGAAGAACTAGAAATTGTAAAGGATATTCACCAAAAATTACCTGCTTTAATAGAATTATGCTTTCTTGCTGATTGTACATTTTCTATTGTAGAAAAAATTCTTGGAAACAATTCAGTAATAAACTATAAAAAATTATAAATTATAAAATTTAATAAAAAAAGAGATTTGGAAATAATATTTTTATATATTTTTTATAAAGATGCTTTATTGGAATGCTATGAATTGCATTAAATATAATGTTGGTTGTCCAAGTAAATAAATAATTATATATTTAATATATTATTATATTTATAATTATATATATAAAATAAAGATGAATATTTTTTGTAAATGCATATGAATAATAAAGTATCTTTTGTAGATCCTGGTGGTTGGAGTGCTTGGGGAATTTGGTCACCATGCACTGCAATTTGTGGCAAAGGTTTAAAATATCGCACAAGAATTTGTAATAGTCCAATACCTTCCAATTATAAATTAATATGTCATGATTCTGCATTTGAAACAAAAAATTGTCTAGGACTTAATTGCAGAAAATTATCAAGTATGCTAGTATATATTAGTTGTACATTTAAATTACATATTATTTTATTATTTTTAATAGCAGGAACATGGACTAATTGGAGTAAATGGACTATGTGCAGTGTAGAATGTGGCAATGGAATTCGAACAAGAAAACGATCATGTTCAGAAATACAAAATTTACAAGGAACATCATGTAAAGGTGTATCCAAAGAAATAAAGAGTTGTACAATTAATAATTGTTCTAGTAAGAATATTATTTTATAAATAGTAATATATATAAATTTATAAATAAATTTTAATATATATTGTAATAAATAGTAATATATATTGTTTAAAAATAATGTTTAATTTATAAAAATTAATTTATAATTATAATTTTTTTTAGTAAATGGAATGTGGTCATCATGGACAATTTGGTCATCTTGTACTTCAAGTTGTGGAATTGGTACACAATTGAGAAATCGAATGTGTAACAATCCCTCTCCAAATGGTAATGGTACATCTTGCTTTGGTTCAGCTTCTGAAATTCGTCAATGTTTCACTAAACCATGTATAGGTACATTTAGAACTTAATAATACTATTAATTTATATAGTATACCAATATTATATATAATAATTTAATTAAAAGTTAAATCACACGAAATAGCAGACTTTACAGAAGAAAGTTATCTTTTTTATGAAACAACTGGAAGACCTTCACGTTTACTTCATATATATTTAAGATTTTTGCCATTGTCACCTTTTGGTATGATTATTTATCGTTTTGAAAAAAACTGTAAAGGATTAATATGTGATTTTGTTAAATTGTTTCTTCAAAATGGGAAAATAGTTCTTCTATCTCAGATTGCTGATTGTACTTTGGCTTTAATTCATGAAACTAAAATGGAAGTAAGAAATAATTTTTTATATATTGAATTTTTTCTATTTCAAATACATTGTTTTTTAGATTGGACAATGGCATGTAGTATTAATTGCAATATATGGAACGCATGGTATATTACGTATTGATGATGGTCTTCATAAAATTAATACTTTTTCATGTATTCCTATGTCATATGATTTGGATCATGTTATGAAAATAGGAGGTTTTCAAGGTCAAATTCAAGAAGTAGCAATTAATTTCGCACCTGTTCAACTTCGTGCATTAAAAGTTATATTAAGTTACATTAAGAAATATACTTGTAATTTAATAAATGTTTTTAAATCATAATATATTATTTAGGATACTTATAATAAAAAATATGCGAATATTTTATCCAGTAGTAATAATGTCCAATATTTGCTAGGAGATGACAATGAAGGTTTTATTTATATTGGTTTAACAGATTCAATTGCAGTACCTTGTCCAAAATGTATAGAATATTGGCAAGTAAGAAATAATATTTGCTATTTAAGTAATAATATTTTAATAATTTATATATATTATAATATTTATTATTATATATAATTATTTAAGATTATGATCATTATAATTTAGATTACAATTGCTATAAAAATTGAAAACATAAATGGAATTGTGGCAATAATAACAGATGATTCCTTAAACAAATATATTTTACTATTAATAGAAGAGGGAAAAATAAAGCTTAAATTTTATCAAGGAGCAACTTATGCTACAATCGAAAGTATAGAACATATTTCAATAAGAGAATGGTTTGAAATAGTAGTAGCTTATGATAGTAAAAATATATACATGCAAGTGAATGGAAATGAAAAGAAATATATACCTTTAGGTTTTGAAGAAATAATTATTATATCTGTAACTGATATATTTTTAGGTGCTATACGTGATAATATAAGAGTAGATATCTTTATTTAAAATAAAAAAATTTATTTATTATTTAGAAATTAATGATTTTTCGTAATAGGAAAAAATATGTTCCGAGTGTGCTGATGTACCACAAATGAGTTTTACTCTTGGATACTTTAATATAAATGGAGAAGAAATAGATCTTATAACATTATCAATTCTAGAAACAAGTAGTAAACGATTTTCAAGTCGTACTATTAGTATATCTGGTATAGTAATTCTTAATATATTAATGAAATTATATTTAATTTTTAATAATATAGTTATATAATACATATATAATAATTTTTAGATCATTATCAAGAAGTATCAATATTTTTAGGTCAAGAACTTAAATTATCATGTTTCTATGATACAATTCCTCATGAAAAAAGACACATATTTTCAAAACAAACATATGCTACATGGATCTTAATGGATAAATTATTACTATCTTATGGAAACAAGTAAATATTTTAAATTTATATATAAATAATTTATTATATATATATATATTAATTTTTTAATTATCAATTTGTTATCAAGTTATGATTTTTTCAATATAAGAGATGATGGACGAGTTAGTACTGTTAGTATTGCAAGTTATACAACTCGTGATACAATAGAAAACTTTTATTCATGTCTTATTTACCATTATAAAAATAAATCACTTAAAACTTCAAGACAAGCTTTATTTACATTTGGTATTGTTGTATTAGATAAAAGTGAAGGTTATATATAGTCTTTTTTTAACATTTTTAATTAAAATAAAATATTTTATTTAAATTATATTTACTAATAAATTTTAATCTTTTAGTATTTGAAAGTGTAATTTGGAAAGAATGGAGTTTTATTTGTAAAGTTATAATCATGTGTTCATATTCATGATAATTTGGTGTTTATTGGAAATATTGCAAGATATTAAAAATGGGTATATAGTAAAAATAATAAATTACTTATTTATTAATATTTATCATTATAAATTAGAATTACAAATAAAATAAGATATATAATTATTTTTAGATATGGTTTTTATAGACTTCCACAAATTATTAGCAATTCCACTTCTGTTATAAATTTTGTTTTGTCTAAAAATGGTGTAATATTACTTGGTAGTCAACAAGCTGCAAATGAAGTTGTATCAAAAATTTTAAATGATTGAATCTTTCATCTAATCTTATTAAGAAAAAAAAATAGTATTAATAATATAATTAGCAAATTACTATATTAACTTTATTTATTATTATTATTATTATTTATTAACATTAATCATAAAATTTATGAAAAATAAAAGTGTTAACTAATATAAATTAATAAAATATTTATATTTTTTTATTTTAATATAGTCACAAAAATTTTAAATTGTAACAAATATAATTTTTAATAATATTAAAATAACATTAACATTTTATGAAACACATAAAATGACATAATACCATTTTTGGAAATATATTATAAGAAAATATTTAATAGTATGAATATATTATAATATTAAATATAGTATGAATATATAAAAAAATATATTTATATAAAGAAAAGAATATTATCTTATAATAATAATAGATTGTATTTACATTTGAAGATAATAAGAAATTCTATGAACATTAATTAGTTATTGTAAAACAAAACCAATGTATGAATCTTTATTAAAAACTATAAATTTATATTGCATCATTTGAATAAATTAATATTTAAGTTGTTATAATTTCTATTATTTTTTTGATAATTTTGAGTAAATGTTATTTTATAATAAAACGAATTGAGCAAGTAACTCTTAATATAATTTATAATATAATAAAATTTGTATAATTTTGTAAAATATAAAACAAAAGATAAAAATAAAACAAATAATATATATATTTATAATTTTTTTCTATCTAAATTAATTATGAGCTTATAATTATTTAATTTATATTTTAGCAAGATTCATTATTATTGCTAATCACAGAAGAAATTCGTGTCAATTGAGGTAATTCAAAATGCCATTTTGTATTTTCATTTATACTAAGCCCATTAGCCATTTCATAATTTAATAATGGTGGCTTAGCTTTAATACCTAACGTTGTAGGTCTTTTGTTGGGATTTTCATCTAACATCATTTTCAATAAATCGTACTAAAAACAAAATATTTTTTAATTAATATATTTTAGCAAAAACATTTCTGTTATTTAAATAATAATATGAATTATTTTCTTACCTCAGCTGGATAATTATTATTAAAATCTTTTGGAAATACTAATTTTCTTAAATTTAAAAGAACATTTATTCTTTCCATTTCGGTAACAAATGGAATAAGTAATTCAAACAAAATGATTCCTAAAGAATAAATATCAATTTTATAATTATAACCTTCGCCATTCATTTGTTCAGGTGACATATAAAGTTGAGTACCGACATATGCAGTATGTAAACTATTTTTAAAAGTAACATTTTCATTTTCTGAAAGGGGAGTATGAGCTTCATTATAACTTTCTGTCATTGCAGTTACAAGACCAAAGTCTCCAACTTTTATTTTATTATCAAAAGAAAAGAATATGTTCGAAGGCTGAAATTTATTTTTTAAGCATTAAAATTAAAATAATGTATATTGTAATATAAAATTTTTAATGTTACCTTTAAATCACGATGAATAAGTCCTTGTAAGTGAACATATTCTACAGCTTCAACAATTTGGTGAAATATATTTAATACATGGTGATAATCTCGCAATGATTGATTCTTTAGCCATTCCCTGAGACTTAATCTTTGACATAATTGCATTTGTATGTAAAGAAATATTTTCGGGGACTTATGTGTATTCGATTTATTGTTCAGATCTAAAGAAAATGATTTTTGTTGTTTTTCCTCTTCTTTTTCTGAAAATTCACTATCAGTGTCTTTAAATAGAATACTTTCAGAATGTGTAGAATTATTACTTTTTAATACTTTTTCAATTTTATTAATTGAATGAGATGAATTGAAATTCTTAATTTTAGAATTATTGATATTTATAACATTTTCATTCTGATTAATTGAATAGGATTTTTCAAAAACGACAAAAGAATCTTCATTTAAATTATAATTCAATTCATAAGCTTCACAAGCACTATCTAGATCAGAAGATTGATCAGTTTGACTAACATTAATACAAACGGAATTATTAATTTTTGGTGTTGTATAAATTATTTCTGAAAAATCTGAATTTGGAGATATTAATTTGTTTATCCATTGAGGATCATGTTTTTCTTGCCATCCTGAAGGTGGACATTCAAGCCATGCATTGAAATATCTTACAATATTTTGATGATCTAATTTAGCCAATGCCTTTACTTCTCGCATTACACGTTCTCTTGAATATATACTATTAAATAAAATAAGAATTATAAATTTTATAAATTTGATTAAATTTATTTTCTATGTTAATATTATCAAATCATACTAAAATTTATTAAAATTATAAACCTGTTCGGTAGAGCAATTCTTTTAATAGCATAATTACAATCATCTATTTTATTTTTTGCCTTAAAAACGACACCATAACCACCTTTTCCCAAACAATCTACTGGTTCAAAATCTGTGAGATAACGTGATTTAAAACTATCAATTTCTTTTTCGTCATTAGATAGTTGAATATTTTTGTTTGTCTCTATATGTCTTTCAACTATTAAAGGCTATAAAATTATGAAAATAAATATTTCTAATTACTATTTAAAATCAATGTTTTTAAATTTCATAATATTAAAATACTTTATAATGTTTTTTACCGGAAGCATTGCATCTTTAGCAACTGTTATAGCATTTAACAAACGTTGTGTTAACATAAAATTAAGTAAAATCGCAGTAGTAATTGAGATTATCAAAACTTCGTTCCTATGGAAAATATTTTCTATCAAAAACAAATATTTTATATTTCTTTATTCATTTTACATACCACCAATACCATAATGATGCAATTATAACTTCAACTATATCTTCATCTTCTTTATGAGTATTATTTGTTCTAAATAATTTCTGTTTTTCTTCAATAAATATTAAATCTGAATTAGTATAATTACATTGTTTATTATTATCTACTTCCAACTGATGTGTTGAGTATAAATAAAATCCATTTTCTAAAAGAAAATTTTTATTAAAAAATAATTTTAAATATTGAAAAACCAACTTTTTATTTACTTAAAACAAATCTCAATGTTTTATATTTATATACCATTTATGTATTCTGAATTATATAAAATTGATAATGCAGTAGTACTTTGTGCATCGCTTATTTCAAACAAATTATCATCATTATTGTTATTTGTTACATGATCTAAAAGAGACTTTTTAATTGCTTTACCTAAAAAAATATTGTATTCTATACATTATTAAAATATTCATAATTTTATATAATGCATTATAGTTAATGAAGAATAAAATATTCATACCAATAGCAGGATAAGGTTTCCATGGATATTTTGAATGTTGTATATATCTTGGTGATGTATCTAATGATTTATAGAATTCTGTATTTTCTTGTACATACAATTGTTTATTATGCATACCCAAATAAATAGCTGGACTGGATGAAAATTTTGTACCCCAAGACCATTGTGTATTATCAAATAAATTAATTTCCTTCAAATTTTTATATCCATTGGCTTTTACAGTTGCATCTTCGCGCCATATAGTAACAATTGGAGAATCAAACTAACAAAATGCAAGTGAATATAATCAATATAAAGTTTAAAAAATTATATTTTATTTTTGTCATTAATTAAAAAACTTACCTTATGTTGTGATAATTTTATTGTAGGATTGTTTCTATTAACAATCCAAATTAAACCCTCAGGTACAATAACTTTAATTTCAATTTCTGGAACATGAGATGTTACTTTATTTTGGCAATAAATATCAGAATGAGGAATCAATACTAAATCATATTGCCCAACACTAAAATTCCACCTATATCAATATAAAATATTTTTCATGTAATATTTATATTAATAATATTTGATAAATTTTATATTTTATGAAATTTACTTCTCTATACCAGTACGTGGTTCAATTGCTCTTACAGTCTGTTGAAATCTTTGAACAATAAGAATTTCTTGATCAATATATGTTTCTCCATCTGTAATATTAATACATCCACTAATTCCACATTCATATAAAATTTTTCCTGTTATACTTGACACACCTAAAGTAGTAAAAAATTTATTCATATATTTTTTCTTTTTTCTTATATATTAATGTTTATTTACCTATTAAATATATTTTAAAAATAATTACCATATGATTTTCGTTCTCTACCACCAGAGAATACTAAATCATCAGAGTAACGAAAAGATGAGTGTAATAATTGACTTGCAGATATTGGCACTTCTTCCAAGTTTTCTTCATCAAATTGATATAATCCACCATTTAAGATGGAATTAAACGAAGCCATTTTCCATTATTATTCAGCTATAAATAATAATGAAAAAATGAATCAAATGAATAATATTAAAGAATAATGAACAAAAACATTAAAAATATAATAATGAAATAAATATATTTAAAGAAAATATTATGTTAAAATATATAATAGATTATAAAATATATTCAATAATTATAAATTTAAAATAATAATAAAATATTTATATATATTATATTAAATTATATTATATACAAAATATATACAAAATATTAAAAATTTATGTACTTCTCTATGATGAATATTTGATGATAATATAGATCCTTCATTAAATTCTAATGTCCATTGTTTTTCTTCAAGATTATTAACATTTAAAGCAGATATTTTTCCATCTAATGTACTTACAAATAATAAACTGAAAAAAATGAAAAAAAAAAAATACATAGTTAAAAAACATATTAAAATAATATAATTATAATCTTAATCTTATTTTATATAATATAATGTTTTATTTATAAATAAAATAGAAAAAAAATAAAAATGGCAATTTTATATTATTATAATATTTACATTTATATTATTATATTAATAATATTAAAAAAATATAATTTAATAGTTAAATATATGTACTTAATATCAATTTAAATTATTGTTATTTTATAATATTATAATAATTAATAAAAATAATGATTTATTTCATAAATATTTTTAAAAACAATAATTTTAAAAATATAATTTTTTATATCTTAATAAGTTTAAAAAATATTTTATGATCTAATAAATTTATTATTTTCAAACATTATTAGAAATTATACATTTAATAGTATTTTGAATATTTAATAGTATTTCTTAGTAATACAAGTGATACAAGATTGAATTTTTATATCGAATTATTCGAATTGAAGCAATATTAATAAAATTATAAATGTATATACTGAATTAAATCAAATGAGTAATCAAGATATAAATATAATTTATATTTAATTACCTACGAGAAGATTTCTGTTCACAAATTGTCAATTGTTTTGTGTCATCGCTGTCACTCAGCGGGAATATGAATAAACTTATATATAACAAATGAAACCACATTCGCCTCCATAAACGTATAGTAGACATTTTTTTTTTAAGTGCGAAGAGATCGATTAATTAAATACATTTTGTTTATATGTTTATGTGAAATATGTGTAATATTTTATTACGATATTTGATTAAAATATAGCAGGTAATGATCAATCATAACGCATTGATGAATCATGATGAACTGATAAATTCTAACATAAATTCTAGCGCCATCTCAATAATCAAAAACATTATTGTTATAAACATTGTATATGTATTTTAAATCAAATAAATTGGAAATAATAATATAAGAAATTATAATTATTTTTTTATTAAAGATTACATTGATATTAATAGTGTGAATAATATAAATTATGTATATGTTGCTATTTTATAAAGATTGCATTATTTATTCAAATTTTAATTAAATCACATTCAGAATTTTTTACAATTCTTTAAAAAAAAATTTTTTTATTTCATTTTTATTTCATTCAATTTTTTATAAAGATCACAATTATAATTTTTTACAAAAATTATATCATATTGTATAAAATAGAATAAAATAAAATAAATATGAAATGTATTGAGTATTTATTTATTAATCTTATATTTTTTAATATAATTTTCAATTTTATAATTTAACAAGATTTTTTAAATTTTATATAGTATTAGAATATATATAAAATTCCTCTTATATAAAAATCTATATAAAAATTCTCTAAGAAATAATTTACGTATATGATTTTCGCATAAAATCAATATTAAGTTTCAAATATTAAGTTTTTTTGTAAGTCTTTTACATATTTAATAATAAATTTTAAAAAAGTTATGAATAAATAAAAATTATTAGATATAATAAATGAGAATACATTAGAAAAAATTAGTATCATTAAAAATAAATAATAGAAAAACTTTTTTTTGCTTTCATTTTTAATCATTTTATATACTTCTATAATATGTCGACAGGTGACAGTGTATGTCAACATCGTATAGATTGCTATACTTTTTCTATGTTACTGGTAATGTGATAATTATGGCGAAGTTTGCCAGATAGATGTGAAGTATCTTATAAAGAATATCATTGACTATTTTATGAAATAATTTTTATTAAGGTAAGACTAAGTGATGTATAAAATTTTAAATCTATTTTGTGATATTAATAAATTTTATTGAATTATTGATAGTGAAAAAAAAATTTAATTCTTATAAATTGTCAGCCAATATTTGTTCTTTCCTCCAGCCATACCTGAAAGTACAATAATAGACTTGGCTGGAACCTGCAGCCTGATTAAATAAATAGTATTGTCTATCTCTTGAACTGCTCTACCAGCAGTAACCCAACTTCTCTTTCGTCCGGCGCAAATAGATTAAATCAAATTCAAGAAAATTTTTTGGTGTTTTATTAAGAGTCTTAGATACATAACCTTCTTAAGCGTGTATTTGAAAGCTTAATTTATCTTTAGTTTTATTTTTTTCAATAAAAATGCATGTATGATTAATAGACGGTATAGAAACAATAGTATTATTCTTGTAGCTACTTTATGTAACTTTTTGTCCATAGTTATGGATGTTTATTTTATTTAAAATTTTTTTGTTTGTATAACTTATAGTCTTAGTATTATATTGTTATTTGTTATTTATATTTGCTTCGTTTCTTTATTATAATTTAAAAATTTTTTTAATTATTACATGAATTGTGATTATTAAATTTTTTATTTGTATATGTATAATTAATGAATAAGTAATATGTAATAAAAATATAAAATCTTATTTTAAAAGATTTTGTAATTTTGATTTACAGTATATAAAAACATGGAAGGGCAACAATTTTGTTTACGATGGCACAATTTTCAAAATACATTATTGAGTTCTCTTCCTAAATTACTTGATGGTGGTTATTTAACAGATGTTACATTAAGTGCTGGTGGTAGGCACATACATGCACATAAAATCATTCTTTCTGCTTGTAGTTATTATTTTAAAGAATTATTTAAGGTATTATATATATTTTTAAGATGCTAAATATTTTTTTTCTTTTCTCTTTTATGATTAAATATAATAAAAATTATAAAAATCAATTTTTAGGACTTAAGTTCTTTGCAACATCCTGTAATTGTATTACCAGGAATGGAATATGCAAATTTATGTGCACTTGTTACATTTATGTATAATGGTGAAGTGAATATTTATCAAGAACAATTACCTGCACTTTTGGCTATGGCAGATACCTTACATATTCGTGGATTAGCTGATATAGCTGGGGTAAGGAAATTCATTTGTTTTTATTCAATATAATAAAGATACAAAATGATGATTATGAAAATGTTTGGTAAGTTTGTATTGTAGTTAATATTGTATTGTAAAGATTTCTTAATATTTTTACTTTTTTTTCTTTTTTCATATGCACATTTTGAACATTTTAAAGTTTTATATTTTTCTCTATTTTTCTTTTATACAACTGTTCTACCAAACCTCATATTAATGCTTTATATTTAGTAGCATGACTGCACTTTAAAAAGTTTAAAAGTTAAGTTTTATGCAATTAACTATTCTTAAAATTTAGAATATAATATATAAATAAAAAATAATTAAATAATTAAATATAATTTTATAATTAATTTTATTTAGAATAAAAAATAAAAATTTAAAATTAAATTTAAAATTGATAAAAATTAAATAAAATAATAAATTTTGTTAAATTTATAAATAGTAATTGCACTATATCCATTTTTATCATTTTTTAATAAATATTATTTTGATTATTATTATTATTTATTAATCACATAATAAAAACAGGTAATTAATATTATTTGATAAATCATTATTTTTTACCCAATGAAGCTTGTTTCAGTGTGAATTGTAAAAAAATATATGTAACAAAGCATGTTATTTTTTTTTAGTGCCTTAAACAGTAGTAATTCCTTGCTGATAATTGTAATTTCCTTTAACATTTGTTTTCCAAAAACATATAAATATTTTTATATATTTATGAAAGTAGATTTTCAATTATATTAGTATAAATAAAATTTTTTAATCAGATTTAATCGAATACTTAATAAGTATTTAATAATTGTTAATGTAATAAATATCAAAATTATTTTTGTATCCATATTATATTAGAAATATATATTTAAAATAAAAATATAATTTATATCAAAATATTTATCTAATTTAAAATAGATTTTTATTACATTTTATATATGTTATTTATAATATATAAGTAACAAATATTAAATAATTAAACAAAATAAAAGAAATACTTAATTATTAAATTAATAATTAAATATCACTTTCCTCCACATAAAATTACTAAAAAATAATTTCTAAGCAAAATTACATATTTGCTTTTTCCTTCTTTAATCTTTATATTACCCTCTGATCGTGTTGTTTTGTTCAGGTCACTTAAATACATTCACTGTCGTTCCTCAAGAAGTATCACATGAAGGAAATACCTACTACACATATTATGTTCACGCGTGCATCGAAGGAACGATAATGAATATAAACGATATCCACGAGATCAAGATCGTTGTGTGTGTTGCAACTAAATGCAAGTGGATGCATCCCATGGAACCTTTCCCCATAGAATGAATTTACAGGTATATCTAAAATAGCTTTATCCAAAAATTTCTCTACATGACTAAAACTTTTAGTAGATATTTTAGAACAATTAAGTCTTTTTTATATAATGTGTACTTTTTGCATTACAATAATGCTTTATATTTTAGTCAAGAGTGGCTATAACAAATATTTAGAATTAATGTATAAATATATATATAACAATCCTATTTTTTATTAAAAAATAATAAATAAATGTGGAGCAATGCATGAAAATTTTTATAAAAATAAAAATTGTAAAAATGTTTTAAAAAATAAAATTAAATTTTACTTTTTTATGATTAAAAAATTATAGTTTTAGAGGCTAGGTAGAACAGCAATATCTTTTAATAAAATAAAAATAAATTTAAAAAAAAGTAAAAGTCATCTTCATATTTTATATTCATATTTCTTTTATAATTATTTATTTATTTATTTATTTTCTTTTTTTTTTTTTTACTAGAAAAATTCAAGACATGATAATGGTTTATATGTTCAATCTACACCAGTACAGCTACAAGAAAAAGTGTTAGCCGAAACATCAATAAAAAAGAAAATAAAGACAATACTGCAAGTGGTGGCGAATCTTTAGAAACGGTTCTAGAAACAGAAACAACTGAAAATATAGAGGAAACTTTTAATGATCAAGAAAGTATACCTTACTGCGTGAAGACTAAACCTTATTACTCTATTAATGCGAAATTAAATACAAGAGAAAAAATTAGTATTCCTTCCATTAATGCTTCCACCAACAAATATATTGAGAAAACATATTCGGAAAGTGGAATAGATGAGAGTACACCTGCTTTAGAAGATCAAATTACTCCAACAGAAGATATAAAACCTCCTCCTGTTTGGGATGCAAATTTTAAATTTCTTACTAGCTCTGTAAGCGGTAAAAGTTCTCAGAATTATAATAAATCTAGTGTTACTTGTCTTATTTGCGGAAAGCAATTAAGTAACCAATATAACTTGCGAGTACATATGGAAACTCATAGTAATAGTTCATATAGCTGTACAGCTTGTTCACATGTATCAAGATCACGGGATGCCCTTAGAAAGCACGTTTCTTATAGACATCCAGTAGCCTCGCCACAAAAACGTTCACGTTATACACCAAAATCATAAAAATTGTATCTTTATCCTTGATTTATATTTTTGTTTTAGGATTAGGACGTTTTATTTAAAACAAATCTTTTGTGTTATTTAATGTCCTAAATATTTTATGTATTATTGACCTAAATGCGTATTGAAAAAAAAAAAAAAAAAAAAAAATTAACTAAAACCAAAAGTGAAAAAAAAAAAAAAAAAAAAAAAAACTAAAAAGTGAAAAAAAATTAATCATGATTAAATATCATAAATTTCTTGTTTTCGTTATTTATTGCTAGAGTATATATATTTCTTTTAAATTATAGATTTTTGATTTATAAAAAAAAAAGTAGAATCGATATGAAAATATTAATTTTTTATTGTAATTATTAAAATGTTTTCTTGTTCAAGTGGTACACTCCATATTATTATTTATTTAATTAAAAAAGTCTATATATAGTATTAGATAATACGAATTAAAATAAAAATATATAAAGATTTTTTCTTAATTTATATGATCCTTTCTAATTGCTTTTTTGATGTAATATTGAATCTTATACATATAAAAAAACATATAAATATTTTATTATATAAAAATAAATTAGTGGAAGATTTAAGATGAAAACTTATGTACCTCAACTTTTTAAGAAATATTCAGTACTGGACTGATTAAGAATAAGGCAAATTAACATTTTGATTATGTTGTTTTAAGTGTACAAATAATTTAAAAAAAGCGTGATCACGTTCCTTGAAGCCCTTAGTGTTCGAATTGTTATTGTTTTCTTGTTATCATTAAGATGTTTTAATAAAGACAAAATAGACAATTAGACATGTCCCGTTTTGATGTTTTTTTTCATAATTAATTCTTTTTACAATCACCTAGTAAAAATTGAGTAATCAAAAAGACAGCATATTTTCATTATTATATTGTAAATATCTAAAAAATAATTGTAATATGTAAAAAATGTTATTTATAATTGACATTGCGCAAAAATGTAAAAAGACATTGTAACAATTTCGATTGTATATACTATGTACTTGTTTTGACTATTTCGATATATCAAATATAAAATCATAATACAGGTTGATCAATTAATTCCGAAAATATTAAAAAATAATATACAATATTCATTTACTACAAAATAAATAAAATGCATTCAAAAAGCTCTTTTAAAAAGAAGAAACATATCTTCCAAACTATTAATTAAATCTGTTCTATACGCCATATTTTAGTATTACAATCCTGACCAACTGAGATCAATGTTTCCTCATTTAACCAAACTAAACGTGTTATTTGGCTTTGGGGATGAGCATCTAAAACAAAATTATTTTTAATAATTGCATTTAAAATAAAATATGATAATTATAAAACAACACAAAAAAAAATGGTACTTTATATGTACTTACTTTTAATAATAGTATGTTTTGCTGGATTTGTTACGCTCCAAATTATAATTGTTGTGTCGAGACTACCACTTGCAACCATTATGGAATTAGGAGACCATGCTACAGAATTCACTCTTGCATTATGGAAACCCCATTCTCTATTATGTGCAAGCTGTAAAGTTATATATTCTTTAATAAATTTTTTAATTAAATTTTAAGTAAAAAATTATTTTTAAGCAAAAAGCTTTACTCACCCTCTAAAAATCCAATAAGCATTTAGAAGGAGCAATTATTAGAAAAAAATGGATGTAAGTATATATAATATAGCAATCACAATTTGTTAGATATTAATTTTAATATATGCATTAAAAACATGAAATATGATCAATGAATCAATGAATTTAATTTAAATAGTGAAAACAATGAATTTTACTAAGAAATAAAAACAAAATTAAAAGCAGTTAAAATTAACATTATACATATATAATGCACGTAATTATTTCGAAAAATATAAATTATATAAAAAAATGTTATTAATTTTAATCAGTTTTTCATTTTTTCATTTTAATACATTAATAAAATAGATTATCATTTTATAAATAAAAAAATCATTTATTAATCATTTATAATAAAAAATTATTTAATTTTATTTTTAGTTTAGAAATTTTAATTTTATTTGACTTTTATAATATTTATCATAAAATATAAGAAAATGAATAAAAATAATGTGTATCAGTTTGTATGTTTCTTATCTTTCATACGGGAAATTTTACAAAATTTAATAAGTTTATTAAATATATATATGATTTCATTTGAACAAAACAAAGATTATTTTCATATAATGTATCAATATATTATACGTTCGAGAATATCTTTAGAAGGTTGATTTTAAAAATCAAAATAAATACAAATAAAATAAAATTTAGTATATAAAATACAATAAAATTTAATATATAAAAATATTAATTGAAACTTATTTATTAAATTATAATCAATTGAAATTTGTGTTAAATAAAACAAGACAAAAAGAAAATAAGATAACTCTCTTTCATATTGCCGTCTTCGTCTTATTTAATCTAATGCAAACTTAAATTGTTTATAATTTAATAAATAATTTAATAAATAAGTCGCAATCGACATTTTTGTATTTATTTTAATCTTTAGAATAGACTTTTCAAGATTTTTTCAATTATTCGAATACATTAATATTTTCTATATCTAAATATAAAAATAAATTAAGAATTATCATTATCCACTTTTACAAAAACATTTTTTTATACAATAAATAGTTTATATAAGAAATAGTCATATTACGTGATTCGCTCTATATATAAAATTATATCATATAAGAAAATTATAGAAAAGATAAATTAATTGTTTTTTAATTTAATTTCCGTCAATATTTTTTTTTTTTTTTACCTTGTATTCTGGACAAGTATAAAGAACCACTTTTCGATTTGTATCACAAGCTACCAAATATTTGCTATCAGGACTATAAGCAACATCTGTAACTGGACCTAAATGTTGTAATTCTATTTTTGAAGTCAGATTTGTACCTGATAGTGCATATATACGAAGCTAAAAATTATATAAAAAATTAATTATATTTTCGTGTAAATTCTTATAAATTAATATAATTATACCATATTATCTGATGTGGCTCCTATAGCTAAATCACCATTTTCTTGATTAATTGATATACAAGATGGTTCATAATCAATAGATGTATTTGATATCTTTCGTCCATCTTGTGTAACAGTTATCTGAAATGCATAACTATTGTAATTTAATTAAATTAGTTATTTGAAATAAAATAATTTTACCTGTCGAATGGTTGCAATTACAATTATATCTTTGTAAATATCTAAACCACGTGGTTGAGAATCCAATTTAACTATAACCGTATCTGTATACATATTTGTATCAATATCAACTAATCTTAACGTATCATCAATACCAGCAGTGTAAAGCAAATTTTTTGTGGCTTTCATTCCATTAATTTGATTTCCATGTCCATGACCTTGAATACGGTTATTTTCTCCCGTTTTTGCATTCCAATTAGTAATATATCCATCATGAGATCCAGTATAAATTGTACTTCTATCAGGACTCAAAGTTAATACTGTTATTGGTTTATTATGACCCTAAAAAAGTACAGAATTAAAAATTTATATTATAAAAATTTTTATTATGCATTTAAATTTTTATACCTTTATTATTCTAAATGGTTTTGTAGGATTATCAACATCTAGATAATTAATAAAACCACTTAAAGATACAGATAGCAAATATTTTTCTTGCCATAAACAACTGACCTAAAAAAAATTAATTTGATATCTCATTTTATTTTAATTTTTTTCACATTTATTATTAATTATTTATTATATTATATATTATATTGTATTTATATATTTATTGTATAATTGAAAATTTATATACTTGTTGATCATCAACTGTTATTCCCATGTTAAATTCACTAATCAAAGAACGAGTTTCTACATCCCAAAGTTTACATGTTTTATCACCAGAAGCAGTCAATAGTTGACTTCCATCTGGTTTCCAAGCCACCTGTGAAAAATTTATCAAAAATAAGTGTATTCTTTATTTCTAAAAGTATTTATTTTTAAAAAATTAATTTTTACTTACTCCATATACTCCTCCTTGATGAGCTGGTGATCCTATTTCTCCAATTAGATCAGAATTTATACCATCATAAATAAATACTTTGCCATCAAATCCTGCAGATGCAAATAAATTACCACTAGGAGAATAACGCACAGCTTGAACAAATCGAGTATGCTCCTGCTTGGTCATTCTGTATATGTGTAATTATTTATTTTATTAGAAATTTATTATTTAAATAAAAGTTTTAAATTTTTTATATCTTGAATTTTATTAATCTTATAGATTAAGAATGTTATTTATGTTCACAACATTTTTGCACATTATTTATAATATTCAAAAATATTAAAAATGAAATTTTTTAAAATTATCTTTATGATTTGTGCAAAAATTAGAATAAATAAAATAGATAAAATTTAAAAAATTAGTTTGTTATTTAATCATTTTAAAAAAATAATTCAAATATTTTTTTAAAAAATCACTACTTATTTCCAAAATCTGTACAAAAAAATAAAAATTTCTATGGTAAATTATTAAAATATTAAAATATTTATATACTCACTTAAATTTAAATGGCGGCCCCTCAAAAACAGCAATAGTATTGTCTTCACTTCCAGTGATTAATCTAAATGGTCTAGTAGGTCTGAAGTCACATGAATTAATAGGTTTACTTTGACCAGAAATTTCACCTACAGATGTACCAGTTTCTGCCATAAACACATGACCAAATCTAAAATTAAAGATTATATTAAATAAAATTATTACAGATATATATTATAGAAATATAATCACTATTAAAATTGTATTAGTGAATGCAAGAAGAGTCTTCTTTTAAGCAAAAACATTCTTTTTTAAGTAAAATATTTAAATTTTTAATTTAAATGATTAAATTTTTTTTATAGATTTTACATTCATTTTTTTATATACTATAAATTTCCTATATTATCTTCAAAATCTATTTTCAAAATTGACATTGCAATATGTTTTGTCAATATTGGAGAATGAATATTTATTTTTCTAAAAAAATAGACTAGAAGAAATTGACAATTGTCATTTTTTATATCCAATAATACAATTGAAATCATATAGAAAATTACCTTTCTCTTCCTTCTCCCACAACTACCATACGTTGATTATCAAATGACCATGCTATATCCTTAATAGGTCCACCAATTGGAT